TTTGAATTGCACGACCCACTCCGTTGCTTATGCCAGGATTTTAACTCTCATTCCAGCACGTTTGATATATCAGATCCGCTTTTCAGCATTAAGAAAGCGATACTCTCCTCTCTCAATAAGTGAATTATTGACATAAATACATAAAATCAGCTGATGAATTTAGTTCTGTAGCTGAACAGTTTTAGATCTCGACACTTAACAAACTCCTGCCTATCGTGACTCGGCACAAAAATTTAAAATATTGGTTCCGTACGTCATGCGGACTGCGCCCCTCGTGCGGATGGGCGTGAATGGAGGGTAAAAACCGCTGGTATATTATTATTATTATTATTATAATCGCCCTGATGGGCCATTTAAAAAATTAAGCATATTAAGGGCCGTAAACTTATCTATTTTAAACTGTAGTTAAATTGTTAATAGATAAGTTAACAGCCTTAACACTTTTACAGTATGTACATATGTATAAAAACGTAAGCAACATACAATACATCTATGTATATATATATCAGTCCTTAGTGTAAAAATTCATCTCTTACATAAATAAAAAAAGATCAAATTAAGCATATACAACTTTTTCATGCCCAGTATGAATAAATTCTCCAAAGGGCTAAAAAAAGGGCTAGGGGCAATTTTAAATTTCTGTGGTAGCTAAATCTAGCCACCAAAAAGCTAAAACGGCAATACTGCTTGCAGGGCAGTTATTCCTTCTTAGTGCATTCCTCTATATTGCGTCGCGAAGTTATTTAGATTCCTTATAAAGTACAATCATTCTGCTTTTTAAAACTGCTTAAACATACTTATTCATTAGTTTATGTCATATTTAAATAACGATGTTTTCTTCTACTTAGCTAATATCAGAAAATTTAAGCACAAATAGACCTAACCACAATGATTTTCTGGCTTATGATATCCAACGTGGTCGAGATCATGGTTTAAGGAGCTATATAAATTACCTTGAATTTCACACTGGCAAAAAAATCAGTACCTGGACGCATCTTGAACCCTTTATCGCCATGGAAGTATGTAGCTTTAACTATTAAGTTCAATGGACAATAACATTTGAAATCACGTTCTAAACTTTAGGATTTGAACAAATTAAAATCCATTTACAACGACCTGAGCAAGATCGATCTTCTTGTTGGAGGTATGGCTGAAACTAATTCTTTCGGAGGTATAGTCGGACCAACGTTTAAGTATATTTTGGGTATGTATTGTCAATATTAAATTTTTAATAACTAAACCATTTTTGACTAGAGGTTGATACGAAGTGTAAGTAATGTGTAAACAGTGATGAAATTTGGGAGACTTTAACCTAATACAAATTTATTAAAAATTTCTAAAAAAAAGGCGTGCGTAGCACCGTACACATGAAGTGAAACTTCTTACAAAAGGTGTGAGTACCAGGTACTCACGAAATTTGATGTGTAAACATATGTTTACTGATCGGCAAACCATTAGGCGATAGAGTTACATACACACACAGGTTTGGTTAAGGTGTTCTTACACGATATGTATTTGCATGTATACATGCCACTTTTTACATATAGAAATGTCAACATATCGTGTAAAGGCAAATTAGATTTGTTTCTGTACAAAGCAGAAGCACGTACATACGAAATAGAAATGTTTCTATTTTCATCTGACACACAGATTGAATCGTGTGAGTTTAGTTTGTTGCGTTTTCAAAGAACGTATTTTTAAATAGTTAAATAAAGTCTGTGAATTTGGCAGACATACGCAATTACATATGTATTGGAAAAGCCACTTTTATAGATGGAATTACATATCGTGTAAGAACACCTTTAGAAAGTAAACATTAATTTAATTTCATTTTATTCATTTTCTGATATAAATACAACTTATTTATGTATTTTCCGGTAACACCACCGTATTCGCCCTACCAGCGTCCTTAACACCGGTTTGTAATGGAAGTAACTGAACGGAATGAACTGTCGCATAATTTTCTATTGTATATTTAACAAATAAATGCAAATGTTTATAACGCAATCAATAGATCCTTACGAATTCGCCGCGATTTGTTACGATTCTCCCCGTGCAATATAACCAAGGCATTAAGTAACGTACGCACTTTTGTTTGCAAAATGCATTTATTTAAGTTGAAAGAAGACAAATTCATTTGTTCGGCATTTCTTCTTAATCGCTTTCTATCTTTCAAGGGGAATTCATATATTCTTATCACGAATTCATATCCTATGTTCCTATGGAATAGTAGCTTGTGTCGAAAGGCTGGCTTTAGTATAATGCAGCATTCGCAGCATAGGACTGCGAATGACTCACTGGCGCCGTTGAAGAACTTTTGGCAAATAAATGTGCAAGAAATAGTTCCGATACTAGCAAGTTAGTATCCTTGTTAAGGGCCAATTTCACAGTGCGTAGTTAACTCAGAATCGGCAGTTAACTACAGATTTTTGTACCGATGAGTTAACTACGCACTGTGAAATTGTCGTCTAAGGAATAAAGGGAATGTCGCATTATACTTTAGCCAGCTTCCCGACATAAGCTACTACTCAATACGAACACAGATATATTCATTTGGTAGCAAGAGTATAAAAACAAAATATTATCTTACAAATTATACGCACAATTATCACGTTAATGCGCAGTCCAATTCACGAAATCATTTCATGGATTTGAGTAAAAACTCGGCGCATAAACTCCATTTCGCGTATAAATGAAATCATAAAATGGTGTTCATGTACCCAGTTTCTACTCAAACGCATGAAATGATTTCATGAATTGGCCTACGTCTGATGGTAGTAAATGACAGCATGAATTACAACAAGCACATCATTTTGACGTGATGCAAGCCTTAAACGTTGCGACCGTTGGTTCAGATCGATCCGAAATCAAGTTGGACTTTTTGCCCACAAACGTTGCAATTTTGCGAGCAATCTCATTGTAAAATCTCATTTTTACAATTTCAAAGTTTCGGCTTATATTTATAAAATTCAACAAAAGCAGGTACATATTTCGGCTGAGTTATCCATTTTGGGTTATGTAGAGAGCCAAATAAACTCAAAATATAATGACTTTGTACAACATGGTCAGTAATGTAAAACCAAGACACAACGGTCGCTACGTTTATGGCTTTCTTTAATGGCGTTTTTTGGTAGGTTTTGGCTGATTCTGGTAGGAAATTTTTGGTAGGAAAAAAATTTGTTCGTGGCTCCGCTATCAAGTTTGATTAATTTTTTTGCAATTTGTGCAAGCTTTGCAACTTTTGTTATTGTGGTTTCTGATATAGATTGAATTATATTTTAACCGAAAATTATTAAAAATAAATAAATAAACATAATTTGCAAGCAATATCGTTTTGAATTTCGTTGCTAATTAGTTGCACGCATCTGGACATATGCACATATTTTTAGATTTGTGTTTATGTATGTATATTTACTTAAGCGAATAAATTTTTTACATCAAAGATTTTTATAATATATTTTCTGGGAAGTAGAAAAAGTGGAAGGTATTTTATATTATATTATATTATATTATATATTATACATATATGTAAACAAAGCTACTAAGTATCTTATTTTTTCTATCGGTTTCCAAATATTTCTTTTTTTCCTTTTCTTGTCAAGAGTTTTAAATATGATTTTTTTGTATAAAAACAAAACCTTATCCAAATTTGTAATATTAGCAACGGGCTTTTTCGTGCTTATTCGTGCTCTTATGATATTTTACTGAACGCCCATACACGCACGAGTTCGTGCTGACAGCAAATATTCCGGCCCGTACATGCCCATCTCTACTTCAAACTCTTCATGTCCCGGAACCCCCCACATCCGACATAATATTTTGTTTTTTGGCCCCATTTGTCGCCCTACACAGACTTCGATTGCGAAGACTTTCGCCTGCAATATAGTTGGGTATGCGTAAGTTGGCAGAATTTCTGGAATTTTGGTCAAAATACGCCTGCCCCAGTTTTCTCGTCGTCCATCTGTACTGACGTACTTGGCAGAACTAATGCATCTCTACAATTGCATTGGCTCCTAGTTACCATTTCTCCTTAAGTTTGTATAAAGATATTTTTCTTTGATGTATTATGGAACGAATTTCCGTCATCCCTTGTCAAATTTGGTTTGGAGACAAACCGGTTTCGGCGTTGTGCCATCTTCAGTGTCATTTTTTCGTTCTGCATAATTTTTGTTGGTTGCTCGTATTTATACTCCTTGTTAACTACCTCTTTCTTTTGTTAGGTACGTCTTTTTAGTTTTGCAGTGTTTGCGGTACTCAATAGGTAGATGAATTGTTTTGGCTCGTTTTTGACGGCAGGTAGAAGTCCGTGATTTTTACCCCCTTTGTTTTTGCAGTCGGTGTATTCCCTTCCATATCTGTCCTTAATATTTTCTTGTTGTCATTCTTCTTCTTGTACAGTAGTTTTAGAGGTTCAAACAGTACGTCCGATGCAGTATTTATTTGCTCATTTATTATTTGTCCTTTGAAGGTCTTCTGTTTATATATTTC